CTACAACAAATGCGTGTCATTCGCTTTAAGATCTCGTGGAATTCACATCTTTATTCATTCAGAAATCCAAGAAAAGACAGAAAATTTGCAATTCACACACAGCAATTCAAACATACTGTACAGAGTGTCGAGGCAGCCTCTGATTCCTGTGGAAACACGAGATCGCTCGCGGTTGATCGAAAGCACGCTGGATGCTTTCACCGGATCGGCAAAGAAAGAGAAAATAAGTTCGAATTGAGCGCGCGATGGCGTCACGCGAGGGAATTCCACCGGTTCGACGACCCGCCGTGTTGGCCTGATCTGAACTGTTCTCCACTTTCGTTCTCCGTTGGCCGATCGCGGAATGGCGATCGCCCAACGAAAGCAAGACACCACGGCGAGAGTTTTAGAAACCGGATCGCAATCAACGGGGGTCCTGAAAACTCGGCGCGAGGCCCGGTTCACCGTCGAGATCGAGCGTGAGAGAGTCGTTTAAGAAAGCGAAACTGTTTCGCCCGTCGCGAGGTACACTGGCCCGTAACTTTCCTTCAGCTATCACCTTCTAGACTGCGCCAAATCGCGAGGTGAAATCGCGAGACTTCAACAACCGAAGGATCCTCAATCACGATCGGTTTTTCTTCAAGCTGTTCTTGTAAGCGCTACTCGTTCGAGCATCTTTTTTATATTAGAAATTGCTTGAATTTCTTGTAGATAATTGTTAGGTGAACAATTTCTCGACTCATTGGTAGTGGCTGAATTTGCATACTTCTTGTATAATATATTTTACATACTTCTGTATATATAAATTTCATTCAAGTGCATGGACATCTGCAGTTTATTAATAAGCGAAGAATCGTTTCTTGAATTATTTTTAAAGATTTGTTTCTTTCTTTCTTTTTTTTTTTTTAATCATGAAAAGTATCCTCTTGTAGTCATGGAATGATCACATATATAAAACTGTTTCATCAACTATCAAATATCTCTCATTACTCCACGTACAAAAAAGTCTACTGACACATAGTCGTGTTGTAAACTACTTGCATTGTCTAATCATCAAACAACGAAATCAAAATTCATTCGAATCACCGAATTACCTCGCGTACAAAAGCAAATCAATCAAACCAATTAATCCGTCAGCCAGTGTGACCCATATCCGAATAAAATTCGCGTTTCCTCGATGACGAAGTTGTCTGGAAACAGAAGAGAAGAAACGAATTCTCGACTGGCGGCCGTGCTGGCCTTGAACCTGGTGGTCGAAAGTGCAAGTGGATCGGCCGAGCAACGGAGCGAATCGAGGCAACGCGTCGGAGAAACGAGAAAGAGAAAGGGGCCAGCCGCGGTGTGTGTGCACGCGGCCCAAAGAAGAAACGGTTTTTGGTCGTGTTCGACGAAAGTGAAACGGCCTTCGAGAGAACGAACGCCCCGGCGTGTATATGGGCGCCATTGAACCAGTGACCTTCATACGAGAACCGGTCTTTGTTCACGGTCTCTTCGCGAGCCAGCGACCTGATCTACCCTCGCCTCGCTAGCCTCCTTTCTAGACGACGATGCCTCATTTGCATATATCGCTGTTTCGATCGGGATTTTGCACGCTTCCTGGACCAATTTCGTCGACCTGGGTCGATGTTGTCATACTTCATAGATGACAGAAAGTGATTAATTTTGTAAATACTGTTTAGACATCTTCTTTCGTTCTCGACGAGTTGGTTGTCTGTTAATTGTTTCCTTGTATCGTGTTTGAAAAGTATCACAGTTCAGAGTGATTTAGTCATTCGTGATGTTAAAAAGACAACAAAATTGTTGGAGAAAAATCGTCAAATATCAAGACTGTAAATAGAAAACTATAAATATTTCATTTATTTTAACACTGTTTCCTGTAATTTTGTCCCCATTTTTAATCATTTTTTCTCTATTATATTTTCATCGTTTTTTAGTTTTCAGTTTCTATCCCAAGAATCAGGCGTGCGCACATTTTATTTGAAACAAAATAAAAATAAAATAACAATTTGGAATAATGAATTATTTCGACTAATTTATTATTGCTATTTCTTAAATAATATAACTGACTTTATTTAGCGTGAGATTCAAATAGATCATTCCTAAATAACCTCTCATTTGAGTTAATTCGATTATTCAAGTGAAATAGCAAATAATCAGACATCAGATACATGAATAAAAATTTATCAGGATTTAAAATAAAAAGTAAAATGTTATTTTACTTGATAGCCACATAATCTCATTTTGACGCATAGTCGTCATTTTTAAAAGATATTATTTGAATAATGCCCAAGCATTCTGTCTGAAACGTAACACAATTCCAGGTTATACATTGATAATGAATGTACGACCAACTCACACACATTTTGTGAGTGACATTGCGAGTAAAAAATTCTTTGAAACAACCGACATATTTTAGGAGACGGCTGTCTTCGTTAAGCTTTATAATCCAGCTTGCCCTCTCCTCTTATTATTTCAGCTTGTTTCTTTTCGTCGTGCATAAATAGATAAGCTGCTCGCAATAACTTTCCAGCTAGATACGTGAAATTATTAATAAAATAACCTTACAATTTAAATCTCATTAAATTCAATTAAATTTTTGGCTGGCTGAATCTTCGAAATTGAGTGAAATTTTCCTCATCTGATCGTTTTAACGAGATTCACGCGTAAAATATTAAATTCAATTCCTCTGCAGTATTAAAATAACACGACTTTACAATTTTCTACGGTCAACAGATTAAAACTCCGAGGGAAAGTCAATGTCGCCGCGCTGAAAGTTATTTTAATAATTTCGAAGTCTCTT